GTAAGTTCTTCTCCAAAAAAATCATTCTTTTCAACTCAAATTCATACAATTATTAATCATTAATGAAAACCATAATTCTTGGCCATAGAGTTTTCAAGAAACAAATTCAAGAATCTCAAGAAAGGTTTTCTTGATTGTTCTCCTTCAAGCTAGGGTTTCAAGGCTTCTAATCAAGTTCTTCTTCAAGATTCTTCAAAAACTTTGTTCTTCCAGGTATGTAAGGCTATCATAGTCTTGGATTAGTTCTTCCTCACGCCCTACATTTACTTTCAAATCAGTAAAAAAGTAATCTAGGGTTCTATCCCTAGATTTGAATATTCTTGAGATGAGTTGATTTTGAGTTCTTGAGTTCCTGATTCATTTTCAAATTTAAATCCTAATTCTTGAATTTCTATATATTATGCATTAAGATTCTTGAGTTGATTCGTTCATGTTTATATTTCAGCATGAACCCTCTGAATTGAGTATTCTTGAGATGAGTAGTATTGTTGAGTTATGAGTATTGAGTTTTCTATATTGTTATTGAGATCCTTGAATTGATTCGTTCATGTCTATATTTAAGCATGGACCCTATTTTGAGTTATAAATTTTGAGAATCTTTTAAAGCCAACATTTTTGTTTTAAACTGAGTTTTTTGAGAAAGTAAAGAGAAGTTTGAGAAAGAGTTTTAACCAAGATTTGAGCAAGAGTATAGGGGAGCTAAGTATTTCACAAATGTTTCATTTCTTACGTGAAGAAAGAGAGTATTATTTTGAGAAAATTGAAAGAGTTTTCAGAAAGATTTAGTACAAAGTAGTTACCTCTTTCAAGAGGATAGTTTGAGCAATTATCTCAAACCAGAGAAAGAGTATGTTTTATACATTTGAGCATGAGTATATATATTATTGGGAGTAGTATTGAGCACCGATATGGGGATGAGTTCAGACAACTCAAAATCCTCATAAACCATGTCTTGCCAACATGAGTACAAGATTATACTTTTTAGATGAATCCTTATTGCTTAGTGGATCCACTTAGTTGAGAAGTTCTATACCCCGGCATGGTATATGATAGTTCTGGCAGTGTGGGCGAGACGATGTATCATGACGTAGCTCATAGTGACGATTGTCAGTTAGAGAATCTCCCAAATAGAGTTAAAAGTGTATTTTTATTATATCACTTAATATGTTGAGTTCAGAGATGAGTAAGTATTTTTGTAAAGTTTTAATGATTCACTTCTTTATTTATTCACATTCAGCTGAGTATATATCTATATCTATTGCAGTCTTTTCATTCAATTATTTGTTATTCAACTATATTACATACTCGTACATTCAATGTACCGATGTCATTCGACCTACGTCCATTAATGATGCAGATACAGGTTCTTAGGATCCTCAACAAGAGGCTGTTGAGATCACTTCATCCACTCATCAGCTTTTGAGTAAGACCTCCTATCTTCCGTAGAACTCCAGTTTTATGAGTTGTTCGTAGTAGTTCTTTTGAGGAGTCTTGTGTCTTGTCTCAACACTTATCTTTGCATAGTAGAAGCTTCATAAATAGGCAATTCTATTCCAATCTTCCTATTTGAGAAATTCAGCATCCTCAACAATGGTGAATACTGGTTCATCTGCGATTTTGGACATTAGAGTTGAAGTCATCCCTATTGTGGCAACAATCGATCAACATCATCCTTTGTTTCTTCAGCCCAATGACACACTAGGTAGTTCCCTAATTTCGACATGCCAAGAAAATTATGCATTATGGAGTAGTTCAATGCGAATTAGTCTGTTAGGTAAAAGCAAATTAGGATTCGTTAATGGTTGATATCCTAAGGAGAAATTTGATGTCTCCCTCCATGATTTGTGGGAGAAATGTAGTGCAATAGTCCTTTCATGGATTATGAATTTTGTATGTACTGAATTACTTAGTGGGATTGTATATGCTACGAGTGCCAGTATGGTGTGGATTGATCTTCGAGAGAGATTTGATAAAGTGAATGGAACTCGAGTCTTCTTCCTTCATAAACAAATCTCTACCCTTACTCAAGGAATTTCATCTGTTTCGACCTATTTCTCCAAACTAAGAGAACAATGGGCTTAATTTGATGTGTTAATGCCTTGTCCTGGCTGTAATTGTGTTTGAGTCTAAGAAATATGTGGAACACTTCGAGTATCAACGTCTTCTTCAACTTCTCATGGGTCTCAATGAGTCTTATTCACGGTCCAGTAACCACATCATGATGATGCTTCCCACTCCTTCGATTAATAAAGCATGTGATATGAGCATCAATAAGGAAAGTAGAAGATCTCTGAATTCTCCTTCTCACAGTTCCGAAATTGCTGAAGGGATAGCTTTGTTTAGTGGCAAAGGCAGCTCTAACATACACACTAACTATCAGGGAAACAGTTCCTTATACAAGAGTAGAAAAAATTATCTTTACTGTGATCATTGTCACCTCACAGGCCACATAAAAGCAATTTGTTACAGGTTGGTTGGCTATCCTCCAGACTACAAATTCAAGAAGAAAACGAGTTCACATGCAAGATCATATGCCAAGGACAGTGACACTAGCAAGGGCAATCTAATGCAGGCTCCTATAACAGAGAAAATTTCAATAATTCCCCTGAATCATGTAGTCATACTCATAGCAGTGGTAGTGGTAACAAGTTTGGGTCTCCATCTGTCAATTTTGCAGGTTTCTCTCACATGTCCAAGGTCCCCTATACTGCCACTGATGCATTTGGTGTTATCCCTCAATTCACTGAGTGCCAATACAATCAAATCTTAACCATGCTTGATTCAGAAACACCTGAAGCTCATGTAGCCTTGACAGTAGGTATGATCCCTTGTACTACTGTCATTGTAGATGATGTTAAGTGGATAGTGGACTCTGGAGCTTCTAGGCATATGGTTAGGTCAGTTGCTCTTTTATCCCACATTACAGAAATGAACAAGAATGGTTAAATGGACTCTGGAGCGTCTAGTCATATGCTTAGGTCAGTTACTCTTTTATCCCACACTACAGAAATGAACAAAAATGGTCTGGGAAATGTTCACCTGCCTACTGGAAATGCAGTTACTGTAACTCACATAGGGTCATCATGTCTCTTTCCTGGTCAAGAGATAACCACCAATGTCATGCATATCCCGGAGTTCAAATACAACTTGTTGTCTATTTCCCAACTGACTAAGGAGCTCAAGTGTGTTGTACTGTTCTATCCTGATTTTTGTATTTTTCGGGATCTCTCAAGTGGCAAGGTGAAGGGGATTGGTAGAGAGGGGTGTGGCTTGTATGTGTTCACATCAGGTCACAAGAAAGCACTCACAGCAATTGCTGCTGCTGTAGCTACTAATGCTGGTCCTTCACCAGTTGGAGTACCTTCTATAGACACAGATAACTCTAGTAAGAGTCTTTGGCACAAGAGGTTAGGTCACACCTCTTCTGCCACTGTAAGAAAGTTGTTTTGTCCTACTTCTACACATTGGGACAAATGTATCAAGAGTTGCAGTATATGTCCCTTGGCAAAACAAACTAGACTTTCTTTTCCATTAAGCACTACTACTTTTGATTGTTGTTTTCAATTAGTTCATGGTGATGTTTGGGGTCCTTATAGAGTCCCCACTTATAATGGCAAAAGATACTTTCTTACTCTTGTTGATGATTATTCTAGATATACTTGGTTGTTTCTACTACCCTCTAAAGCTGAAGTTGTTGTTGCAATTAAGGATTTTCTGCTTATGGTTAAGACTGTTTATTCTTCAGTTGTGAAGTATTTTAGGACTGATAAGGGTTGTGAGTTCTTTAACTCACAAATGACTGCCTTGCTGAAGTCCTTGGGTATTGTTCATCAAAGTTCTTGCCCCTACACTCCACAACAAAATGGAGTGCCTGAGAGGAAACATAGGCACATTTTAGAAGTAGCAAGAGCTATCAGGGCTGGTGTATCACTGAAGTTTTGGGGGGATTGTGACCACAACAATTTACATTATTAATAGATTGCCTTCCTCCATCATTCAAGATAAATCTCCTTTTGAGAAACTTCACAGCCACTCACCTTCTATAGCTCACATGAAAGTATTTGGATGTTTGGGGTATGTGACTCAAGTTAGAAAGGTGGATAAATTTTCTCCAAGGGCTATTCCTGCAGTATTTCTTGGCTATTCAGCATCCCAAAAGGGTTATACTACGTATGATTTGGAGTCCAAAGTGTTTTTGACAAGTAGGGATGTCTTGTTTCAGGAAGATTCTTTTCCTTTCAAGACCATCCTAGCTTCTCCTCCCCTTTGTTTTCCATGAGGGAAGATGAACTTCATGCCTCACCTTAGTCAGCTATTTTTCAGTGTTCCTGCTCATTTTTCTGCTTCTGTGGCTGTTTCTCCTGCTTCTGAACCTCCAGCGGTATCTGTAAATATAAAATCTTCCATGCCTACTAAGCCCCCTATTTGGATGCATGACTATGTCTCCACAGGCAAAGCAAGTGGCAAACTATTGTTATCAGTATCTGTTGTGGTCCGTTATGATCATTTATCACCTTTGTTTGGAGCTACTTTGGCATCCTATTCTGTCATCAAAGAGCCCACTTCCTATGTTGAGGCTGTTAAAGACCCCCATTGGGTTGCTGCTATGAAATCTGAGATTCAAGCATTACAGGACAATCACACTTGGAGTTTAGTAGAATTACCAGCTGGAAAGAAACCTATCGGGTGCAAATGGGTGTTCAAAGTTAAATACACATCCTCAGGAGCTGTGGAAAGGTACAAGGCTCGACTTGTGGCAAAGGGTTATAGCCAGCAAGAGGGGTTGGATTACACTGAGACTTTCTCTCCAGTTGCTAAGATGGTTACTGTCAGGTTTGTTGTGTCTGTGGCAGCAGCTAAACATTGATCTATTTTTCAGATGGATGTTCATAATGCTTTTCTTCAAGAGGACTTAATGGAGGAGGTGTATTTAGAGGTTCCTTCTGGGTTTGCCAGCCAGGAGGGGAAGCATGTTGTCTGCAAACTACATAAGTCCCTTTATGGACTCAAACAAGGCACCTAGGCAATGGAATAAGAAACTCACAGATGCATTGGTACAACTTGGCTTGTCACAAAGTCATTTTGACTATTCTTTATTCACCAAGACAGTTCAGGGAGAGTTGGTAATTGTCTTAGTATATGTGGATGATTTGCTGGTGACAGGGAGCAATGCAGACCTGATCCTACAAACAAGAAATGACTTAAAGCTAAAGTTCAAAATGAAAGATCTTGGAGAGTTGAAGTTCTTTCTAGGAATTGAATTTGCTAGATCACAAAAGGGAATAGTGATGAGCCAAAGGAAGTATGCACTGGGACTAATTAGTGAGCTGGGACTAAGTGGTACTAAACCAGTTAGCACACCTTTGGAAACAAATCTGAAGCTTACATCAGTTGACTATGATGTTTTTATCACTAATGATAAGGAAGCAGGTTCTAAGGATGAAGATACACTACTTGCTGATCCTACTCAATATCAAAGGTTAGTAGGAAAGTTGTTGTATCTCACTATGACTAGAATTGACATTGCCTATGTAGTGCAAGTGCTAAGTCAATTCATGCATAGTCCCAAACAATCTCACATGAATGATGCCTTAAGAGTAGTGAAATATACAAAGAATGCGCCAGGTCTTGGTCTTCTAATGCCCTCTGATAGCTCAGGAATGTTTGAGGCATATTGTGACTCTGAATGGGGTGGTTGCTTGCAGACTAGGAGGTCAGTCACAGGGTACTTAGTAAAGCTTGGCAATGTTGTAGTGTCCTGGAAGTCAAAGAAACAGGAGACATTAGCTAGAAGCTCTGCTGAAGCAGAGTTTAGAAGTATGGCCTCTGTGGTTGCCGAGGTGAACCTGGTTGATTGGTTTGTATAAGGAACTGGGGATCAGTGTTGAGGTTCCCATACACCTTTATTGTGACAGCAAAGCTGCAATTCAGATTGCAGCCAATCCCATCTTTCATGAAAGAACAAAGCACATTGACATTGATTGTCATTTTGTGTGAGACAAGATTATACAGGACATTATCAAGATTTCCACCAAGGAGCAGTAGGCTGATATATTAACCAAGAGTCTTGGCAGGAAACAACATGAACATTTAATGACCAAACTGAGTTTGAAGGATGTATTCAAATCATCGGTTTGAGGGAGGGTGGTGTTGAATAGAAGATATTTTCAGTAATTAGTATGTTTAGCTAATTGTATTCTGTTAGAACTGTCAGTTAGTTACACTGTTAGAAAGTTAGTTAGAGTTGTTACTAAACTGTATAAATACAGTGTGTATAGGATCACTTGAGACTATGCTGAATAATACTCAAACATTTTATTTCGTCTTGTTCTCTCCTTCTCTCATTACCTTGAAGGTTCTCACATGGTGAAGATCAAGGAACTTGACAGCTCTGATTATAACAATATCAATGATTTAAAGATAAGCTAGACTGAGCCGACAAGTTTAAAATATAAAATGATAATATTTGATAAATAACATATATTTATAAAATGATCATTCTATAATTTATATAAGGATAATTTTTTAGAGGTTGATTGTCTATGATTAACCCCAGTAATATATGATAAATACGATAATTAATGACACTTAAGAATAGAGAATAATGTTTGATTCTGCTGGTCAGGCTGATTCATAACTATTAACATTAGTCATTAGCCTAATTTGGTTAGAATCAGAATAGTAAAATGAAAACAATATCACAATTCTTTTAAGCTCTATGATTAGAGTCAAATTATCTACCCTAAAAAAATTACAATTAAATTTATTTGTGAAGTCTAAATGATAAGAAGAAAAATCTTAATTTTAAACTAATAATTTATTATTTGCTAAAAGAGAAATTAAATGATGAATTTGATATAGCTAATAAATGAAAGATTAGATAACAACGACATGGGTACACAAAGATATTTATCATGTCATTTGCTCTAACCAGCTAAGCTACCTTATCGCATTGCTGAACTCAACTCTCCATTTTCGTTTTACAATTTGTTGTTTTTGTATTTTTACAGGAATTAGGCATCTATATATATATATATATTATTTTTTATTTTTTCAATTTTTTGAAGTGTGGATAAATCTAGAATTCAAAGTTATTGAGTTTTGCTATTTATATATATGATTTTGGGAAAAGGGTTCAAAACACACATAAATTTTGGTCGAAATTGTTGTTACACACTCCAACTTTGCGAGGGTCCTATGACCTCCCTAAACTATTTTTTAGTGTATTATTGAGGTTATTATCAGCTTAGTTGGATGAGCAAGTGACCAACACTCTCGGTTAGCGTGTAAGGATGGAATTAAAGTAAAATGAACTCATCTTTATTTGTCATGTGGCAATCCACATCATTCCTCTTTTTTTCCATTAAATATCCTTATTATTTTTTAATTAGGGAATATATACAGATGCCAATTTTTAGTTGGATATTTCCTTTAATAAATTACACTTAATTATTAATTATCATTAATATTTCTTCTTCATCAAAAATCCAGTCGCTTCACTGTGTCGATCCCGGCAACGGAAAACTCTCCCGACGCCGACAATGAAAAACTCAATCAACAATTATCAAAAATATAATCACCACACGAGTAACTCCCTCAATTGTAACAACTACCTCCACACAATCGAAATTGCAAATTTGCAATGAACTGGATCTACAAATTTTACCATTTTCAAATTTTGCCACCACCGAATCGTTATCACTTCGTCATCATCACAAAAAAAACCTCCATCACCACCAAAATGACAAAGACGACCACAAAGTTTTAAATTTTTTAGAAAGATAGGAAATTTATATGAAAATTTATAGCTGAAAAAATTCATTACTCATTAGAAAGAAAAACCCAATGTATATATTGGGTTTTCTACTGATTGAATTTCTTAAAGAAATTTTTGTTGATGTAGTTTAAAAGGAAGTTTTTAGGATGTTTTTGTTGGATTTTAATGTGAAAGTCTTCATGTAAGGGTCTAAATTGAAAGAATGGTGTGATGATAGAAGAAGGTTTAAAAAAATAAAGAAAAAATAGGAAAAATATTGAAGAAAAAAAATTAAAATGATAAATACAGTGGCAGGCGCGTGTGCCACCTTTTGGATAAAAACTTGGTTTTGACCTTTAAAAGAGGTAATAATTCCACTTCAAAATAATACTGGGGGGTCATAGGACCCCCGTAAAGTTGGAGTGTGTAACAGCAATGTCGGTCAAAGTTTGTGTGTGTTTTGAACCCTTTTCCTTATGATTTTCATTACATGCATAAATATACAGAGTTAAAATTCATCATAATATTGAAAAGGGAAAAAGGAGAAATATACCCCGAATTATCGTAAATGGTATGTCAAAATTCTCCGTTATACTTTAAGTATTTACCCTTACCGTCAATATTTTAAGTTGTGTATGCCCTTGAGACTAACGGCTGGACACGTGGCTACATCTCAATAATTTACCTAATATTTATTTTCTTATCTGAAATTTAAAAAAAAACTACCCATCTTCTCTAACCCATCCATACCCGAATTAAAACCCATTTTCCATAATAATTCCCTTCAAACAATGCTAATTGTTCATCTTCTTCTCTTCTTTAATTCTCAAAAAATTGTTGCACAAATCAAAATTTTCACTAACATTAGCCTTTTTTTTTGTGTTTTAGAGTTCATGGATGATTGCGCACAAAATCATCAAGTTAATTTTGTGATTGGCCACCACCGTAGCCGCCTTCTTCTCCAAAGTTCACACAAACATTTGAATCATTAGAAATGAAATTCGTGGCGTTTCTCTTGATGAAATGAAGTGATTTTTTGTCGGTTGTGTCCGCCTTGGAGAGGCGCCCAGCTTGGCATTGACCTTGCTCGTTAAGACTGCCGAAAAACTGTCGTCGACGACCAATAGTGGTCTGCCGAAGTTCAAACCGTTTGAATGAACCAAAATTTCTTGATGTTTGATTTTTCGTCTGTTGAAACGAAAAGTTGATTTTTCGTCTTTGAAACAAATTGTGCAAGGCAATTTAGTCATTGTGTCCATACAATGATGTATAAGCTCAATCTACGTGGCTTAAACTCCATGATTCATCGCCTTCTCTCTCACTGTAAAGTCTTTTCAGCTTCAACGAGCAGCCATGGCGAGGAACACGTGAAGACGAAATTAGAGATGTTTTGGCACTTCAATCTTCAATCTTCAATCTTCAATGAGGATTGCTGCAATTTTAAGGTAATTATTTGTCATTTCTCTGTCTTCCTCTTTAATTTTTTTAAGATTTGATTTATAAAGTATTGATCTTTCAGATGTATGAACACCACATATCTTAATAAAATGGGGTACCCAAATCCAGCCAAAACTTCCATTGATTTTCAAAGAAGGTTTCGGGTGGGTTTAAAATTGAAATGGGGCGGGTTTTTTTTAAATTTTGGATAAAAAATAAATAAATAAATCGGGTTAGTCGTTGAGATGAAGCCACGTGTTCAACCATTAGTCACAAGGGTATACACAATCCAAAATATTGATGGTAAGGGTATATACAACCTTAAAGTATAACGAAGGGTATTGACATACCATTTACGGTAGTTCAGGGACATATTTGTCCTTTTTCCCTATTGAAAATATCGAAATATCTCTAGGCAAGCTAGGCCGAGGCGACAAGCTAATAAGAAAAATAACGAAAAATAAAATGATAGCATTTTGATATAGTAAAGTATGATTTGTTGTATATATTTGTGTTTTTATTGGTTTGTGTCACGCCCCGAGCCTATACCCTGGGCGGGACCGGCACTCGGAGACCACTGCTGGCCCCAGGCGAACCCTTGGCCTGACTTTCTTAACTCAGTGGAAACCTAACTCAGCAGAATAACTCAATGCAATGAAAGGTTATAAAACAACCCAACTGATAAAATCTCGCCAAAACGGCAACTCGAGTCTCAAAATAGAATATTTACATATATACATAGATGAGAGACTCAATACTAACTGACTGACTGTCTATGAAGCCTCTAAAATACTGAGATGGATGTTGGGACAAACCCCACAACATCCTAATAAAACAAAGCTAAGAGAACAAAACAACTGAGTCCTCCGGAAAGTAAGGAGGCTCACCACTGACTCTGGAGTGCTCAACTGGATCAACGGCGTGTTGAATGCTGATCCTGGGTACCTGCGTCTGGATCATAATAAGATGCAGGCCAACTGGCATCAGTACATGGAATGTACGAGTATGCGAGCTGGACAGCTAAACAACAACTTAAGCTTGAAAGGAATACAAAAGAGAACTTACCTTGGCTCTGTTCAACTCATGAATAATTGAACTCAATATAAAGCAATGAGACACATGCAATATATGTAAAGCTTGTAAAACTATTTAAAACATGACGTAAAAATCATATTTATAATATCATGAAAATACCATGCTTCCTCTCAAAGTCTACTTGTGCAATGCATGAATGAAGTCTCATACCCCCATCCACACTAAGCAGAACTTCTCGAGGAACCAAGCTCTTTCTACTATTGTGGGAGTTTATCTAACCGACAACCACCACTATGAAACTAAGTGGTGATACAACGTTTTACCTCACGTTGCCCAAGGACCATCATATACCTTGCCGTGATATAGAACTTTACTTTACTTAGTGGATCCACTAGCTTAACTTTCATGATCATCTAAAAAGTATGATCCGAGAAATCCCATGTTTGGCTACATAGTTCTTATGGAGAGTTGAGTTAATATGAACTCGTGTCCCCAATTCGGTGCTCAAGACTACTCCCAAAAATACTTTAGCTCGTAAGTGTTTTAAACACGTCTTTCTTTAGTTGAGATAATTACTCAAAACTACCCTCTTAAAAGAGGTAATTGCTTTTGAAAACTCTTTCTAAAAAGAACATCTCAAAACCATATTTTAATATGATCATTGATGACTCGGGATATTCATACTGCTTAAACATTGATGGTATATCTAGAGACCATACTGTTTAAACATTGATGACATACTCGATTTGTCATACTAATCATGTTTTAGAAATTGTTTCGCAAAACTCATCTTTTCTCAAAAAGAGATAGTACTCAAACTTCTCAAAACTCTTTTGGAAACCTCAGTTTCCTCTCATCCTAAATGTGAAAACATTTATAAACTTCTTTGGGAAATACTTAGTTCCCTAATAACTTTTGAGAAATGAACTCAACTCTTGACTCTTGACTTAACTCGAAACTCTTGACTTAACTGAAAACTCTTGACTTAACTGAAACTCGATACTCTCTACTCGACTCGAAACTCTTGACTCTTACTCTTGGAACTTGAGCCTTAAAAAGAAGTTAAAACGTTCAATGAAGACTCTTAGAAAACCTTAAACACTTGCTTTGACTTATTTAACTTCTAAGCTTGACTTCTAACTTCACTTGACTTCTAACTCGCCTTGAAGTGGATTATGGATTCAAGGTATTTGATCACATGTTTATGGATGAGTTCTTGACGTTTAAATGTACCTTGGAGTGTTGAAAACAACTAGGAAACATAGGTGCAATACCTAGGAACATATATGAAAAAGTGTGAAAAGAATGGGGGAACTTGGCGTCCTTGGCGCTCTGCAAGGCGCGGAGCGCCAACCCTTGAAGCTCAGAAGGCCAGCTGAGGCGCTTTGTAGGGCGCGGCGCCCCAAGGGGTGAAGTTCAGAACACTTCTTGGGGCGCTCTGCAAGGCGCGACGCGCCACCCCTTTTTCCCGACAACTTCGACTTTTATCCTTCTTTTCTCCAACTCTAAACCTTCTAAACTCCAAGGTTTCCAACCCCAAACATTTAGAATCATAAATCCCTCAACATACCATAGATTTCAACCCAAAACACAACCTGAAACATGCCCAAATCAACGAGGGACTTCAACAACACAATCAAACAACTTCAACAACATATCCAATCTTTTCTCCATAATAAAAATGAGTTTGGTGTGTGGGGGAAATGATCAACCCAGCACTAAGAACTCACATACCTAGTGGGGATCACCCCCGACGATATCCACGACGGAAACTTGCTTGATCTCCTCTTTCTCCTCTTCTTCTCTTCTTCTTCTCTTCTTCACTCAAAACCTTCACTCTCACTCTTTTAAAATGGTATAAAATGATCCAAAAATCAGCCTAACACAACAATATAACCCCAAAATAAATAGCTATGGAAAAGACCAAAATGCCCTTAAAATTTCCGGACGGATTCCCTGCCAACTGCCCCACTTTCAAAGGGCATAACTCGCTCATACGAACTCGAAAACGAGCAAACTCGGTGGCGTTGGAAAGATCATTCCACAAACTCGGTGGCGTTGGAAATACTCCTAACTCATCTTGAGCTAGGAGTTATGACTGCTCAAAGTTGGCCAAAACTCACTGATTTCCCACAACCAAATTTCCAGATTTTGAATTTTATTCCAAAAATGCTATTTCCGATTTCAAGCTTTTTCATAGTTATTTCAAATTGCCGGATGTTACAGTTTGTGTCTTTACAGAAATAATAATCCCATAATTTATATAGAGATCATTTTGTAGGAACTGATTTCTTATGATTAAGTTTCATAACAACTTGCATTAGCCGTTAGCTTTTCCTTCGAGTGCTATGGTCTAGTGGGGTTCCTACATGGCAAATATCTTACTCTTTAATGTAATAACAATATATTAGCTTGCTTTCATGCGTCTCAACATGATATGGAAATTGAGTACAAAGACATAATACAGAGATATTAATGTCTGATATAGGTCTTTACAACATAAGTGAGTGTCTAGAATAAACCCTAACTCACTTGAATAATTTGAAATTTGAAATAGGAAGTTTGAAATAAGCATAAGGAAAGCATAAGTGTGGCATGTCCTTGAACCATGAGGACTCACCGTTGATCAAAATCATGTACTAATTGTGATTAGATGGATGTATATATGTTAGAACCTATATTAAAGATAATATAGGCACAAGAATGTATGCGGTTAGTAATTATTATGTACTGAATATGGGAAAAGATGCATGAACATAACATAATATCATGATAAGTCTTAAAACATGATAATGTAATGACCAAGTAAACATAGCATGAAAACTAATAATGTGATTATGAAAAATAGTACAAGGCCAGTGCATATTATGAAAAGTCATAATCATAACATATGTGGGAGATACCGTTTATAACACCCCGAAAATTTCTAAGTCAAGACTTGAACCATTCTTCGTTGTGAATAAAAAATTTCCGAGTGATTTTAAATTTTCTTAGGTGTTAAGGTCACTAGACGTAACACCTCTAGTTTCAAAAAGAACTAAAGAGAAATTTGTTCAAGTCACCCATTATTTTCCTTAAGTTTTGGGTCAACTTCAAACAACCATAACTTTTATCACATAAAGAGTTTGGTGGTCCATGACCTATCAAATTAAAGGTCTTTGAGTCCTCTTTCCAACGCCACCTAGTTTGCCTCAATCAGAATTCTGAGTAAAAAGTTATGACTGATTTACTAGAGACGCTCTAACCTGGCAGTAGTTCTGTGATGGCTCTGCGTTACGGAGTGAATACGGACCTCACTGTCCGCTGGAAAAATATTTTGACTTCCAACTCGTTTTATTTATTTATTAAGGGGTATTTTAGTCCTAAATCCCTTTGAAAGTCATCTAAATTACCTTAAACGTGTAGAAAAATCAGTTTTGAAAATCAAACCCTCTCATTCACTCCTAAATTTCTACGCTCAAGAAATGCTAAGGCTAGGGTTCATCTTCCTTTTCCTTCAAGTTTCTTCAAGAACATTGTTCATCCAGGTATGTAAGCTTTCATAGTGTTGGGTTTGTTCTCCCTCACGCCAATCATGTAAATTTCATCCATAATTTCATTTTAAAAGTTATTGATTGAGATTATTGATGAAGTTCTTGAGGTTTTAGCTTCATTCTTTAATAATGTAGTCTTGTTGAGTTCTTGAGGTGAGGGTATTGCGAATGAGTGTTGTTCTTGATGGATTTTGTGTGGGTTTCATTGAAAACATTCTGGGTTTATGAAAATTCGTGAAATTGGGTATGGATTGAATCGAGTTTGGGAGAGGAAGAAAAGATCATGCAAAAATATGCGCCCAGGTCCGCGTCGCGGAGACGTTTAAAAGTTTCAGTATCCAGTCGACTCCCCCCTGTCCGCGTCGAGGAGAGGATACAGAGTCCTCTATCTCGAGATAACAACAATGACAAACGGGACTCTTAATAGCCCTACACAATTTTTTCTTAATATTAGGTCTACCTCAACCACTCACAAAAATAAAACAAAATTGAATGACTATATATTTTACTCTTCAATCATGCACTTTGCAAAATTATATACATCATTTTATAAAGATCACAAAAGAAAAAACTATTTTTTTTTTATGAAAAAAAGCAAATTAGTAAAAAGATGACATGAGAACGTTATTGGCCATGAACAACTTTAATAAGGTGATCATTCTGACTTCCATTTTTTGTAAAATGTGTGAATTAAAGATAAAGAGTAAATAAGTGAAATATGAAGTTCTTTCACTTCATAAAATATACATGTCTATTGATATTTCAAAAAATATTACATTAATAGCGAATAATTATTTTATCAGTTGCCAAAAGTTATCAAATAAATATTTAAATGTAAAGAATTGATTTGGTTTTTCGGTTTGATCCAAATAGTGTTAGCAATCTGTGTTTAAAAAACCAGAACTACTGTTTTCAATAAACTTTGCAGAAACACGAAGTAACCAAAGTTTAATAAAACAGTAAGAATAGATGAACAAAAATTAATTGACAAAACTAAAATCTGTAAAAACGTACCACAATCTGGAAAAACAGAATAAAAAAAAGATCAAGTCCACTGAATGCACAGTGTCCCCTTAAGGAAATTATTCCCCTCTAGTATTCGAGGTTTGATTTGGAATATGTCCTCCCAGGATAGAATGATCTCAATCACCAGTGTATTGATACCCAAAACTCTGGTGTCAGCGAACCACTCAACAGTAGTAAAGTACACGAAGAAATTTTGTGCAGAAGAAGAAGAAGAAATCAGAAAATTCGTAAGAAATAAGTCTGAGGAATCAATGTATTTATAGGCAAGAGGAACTGGTTCCAAAAGGTTGCAATCCTTTCAGAATCCACACGACCATTCATGAAAGTTTGCAACCTTTCAAACGGTCATGGCTGTTTCTGAAAGTTGCAACCTTTCAGAACAGTCACTTCCAACGGCAGGAAATTCAAATAAAACGGGAAAGATTTAAATAAAACGGGTCGCGCGTGGATCCGAGTCGGGTCGAGTCAATTAACTAATTAATTGAAACGCTTTGGTTAATTAACTAATTAAAACATTGGCCATTTAATTTAATTAATTAAATAAATAATTAATTAAAATAATTAAAACAAACTTTGTCCAAAAAATGAATCTCTCGATCGATCATTTTCCAAAGCCGAAGCCGAGCGAGCGACGACGACGGCGCGAGGAGGGTCCCTCTTTCCAACCCTTTTAACAATTAATAGGAGTGTTTCTATATTTAAACTCTCCTATTTTTCTTTCCACCACCGATGAGGCACAAATGCCTTTTCAATAAAGCATAAGAGGACTTTTCAAGTTCTCAACTCTTCAATTCCCAACTTTTCAAGTTCCTCTCTTTTCATCTTCCCTCCATTTCCCATTAACTCTTGCTACATACCCAACAAATAGTTCACACCCCTAGTTAAAACTGAATATTTCAAAGTTATTCCATTATGGGCGTCTCACCAGTTGTATTACGAGTTGACAGAGGTGAAGGGTCAACTACCCGTCATTGATTATGAATTATGCTTTGTCGATCCTGATTTTCTTTTTCTTTTTATAATCGAGAAATCCCCAAGGTTGGTGGTGGTGCACGTTTCAGCTGTATCCATGAAAATATTTCCAACTGTGTGGAAATCGCGCTTCATGAACAACAAACATAGTAGTCAACAACCTCTTACCCTAGTAATATTTCCCTAGTTTAACTTGTTTTGGTACTACAACTCGTGCCAACCTGGCACAACATACATGTACTCCTGTTTCGTATAATGGTAAAAAATATTCTGAAATTATCACTCCCTTTGTATTAAAATACACCTGATGTTGAGTCGGCCTACACACCCCTATTGTCCATTGGGAACAAAGACAAAGTTTTTGTTTGTGTCGCTATTCATTAGGTTTTGAGCCCGAAGAAAAGAAATACAAAGTTTTTGCTACAACAACATATGTTGGAGAAAGTTACACAAAAAACAAGGTTTTCACTTTATGCATAGATGAGTCATGGAGAGAGACTAAAAGAATTCGCTCTCCTATTTTCTGCAAGCCCAGGATTTGCATCAATGGAGTTATCTATAGGTTTGTTTTCCATAGAGGACTAATTGCTATAGCTGCATTTGATGTTAAAACTGAAAATTCTAAACTTATTGCATTGGGGAATGTCTCTCACGAGTGGCATAATGAGTTAATAGAGCTGAAGGGTAAACTAGAAGTCGTGGTATATGAAAAATGGCCACATGGACATATCCACTTGCAGGTTTTGGGACAAACTCAGAAAAAAGATGAATGGGAGAGCCACACCATTCACTTCCCTTCAACATGGAAGGACATACAACCCAAGGTCATATCACCCTGCACATCCGGTGATGGAGAGATTGTATTCATCGCGAATTTAAAGTCAGGTGTTTTATGTTTGTGTTATGATGTCACGAGACAGAGTTGGAGAAAACTAGAAATTAAGGGGCTTCCTAAGAAGCAGTGCATCAAAGGCATTTGTGGTTATGTGGACAGACTAGTTATGTAGAAATTAAGTCTCTTTCCATTTGAAAATTTTTGCTTTAACTTGTTTTTTTTGCACAACATAATATACTCCTGTTTCGTTATACTTTAGAGTTAATGGTAAAACATTACACCCAAATTATAACTCCCTTTGTATTAAAAAACATCTTGATGTTGAGTTTTCCTACACGCCTCTGTTGTTGATTGTGAACAAATATATGGCCAGGAAATTTTGACCACAATAAATTTCTTTTATGAGTAGCTATAACTGAAATCCCACAAATAGAATCTAGTTCTGGCAATTTGTCAGAACAGTTCTGATTACTAGTAAAAGATAGTTATTACATGTACACGTTGATTTTTTTTAAAGAATCTGAGCAGGCAATTCTCATGGATTCCTATCAACTCGTTAAGTGTTTCTGAATCAGATTTTAATTCTCTTATCTCCGAATCAGATATTAGTGATATTAGATTTTAGAACAAAATTCTCTCCATGACGAGAGATGTTTCTACACAGCTGAGCAAAGGAAGATGGAAAAGTCTCAATCTCCCTTTTTCAAACTGAGAATTTTGATGGACTCTGTTGTTATTCAGATTCTTGGTTGGATCTCGTTAATGGTTTACTTTGAGTTTGGAAACCCTTATCTGCTGCAATTTTTAGAAAAAAAATCTCAGTAGACTCCTTTTGCTCGTAACTAAAATCTGCAAGTAGTTTCCGGAGCCATAAAGCTTGTAGTGCTGCTAAACTTGTTGTTGTATACTCTGCCTCAGACGTCGACATAGCTATTGTCTCCTGCTTCTTTGAACCAAAGCTGAAACAACTACCAGAAGTGTTTTTTCGATGGTCCTAGCAGCCTGCATAATCACTATCTGTAAAGCCAACCAATATGTAAACATTATTTTGACGCATAATACACTCCTGGAAAAGGTCAGTAACTGTACTTGTGACAGAAAAAAGTTGAATCATTTGTAGATTAATGGATTTTAGAATTAGGGAGAACGTTGAACTCGTGGCCTATCTAGATGATGTAATGAACTGGTCTGGTGGGGAACGTTTCAGCTGTATCCATGAAAATATTTCCAACTGTGCGGAAATCGCGCTTCATGAACATTAAACAAGTAGTCAACTTTTCCCCTAGTAATATTAAAAATAAAAAATACAACTCCTAAAAAATGACTTATTACTAATTTTCCTTTTTATCTCCTCCGAATACTAATAGAAAACCTTTCTTTTGAGGAAACCAAACGCCCTGAAGTCATAAATAAAACCAACACAAACTGATGAATAATGGTAGGGTTTTTAGACATTATAAAATAAAAAAAAGGGCATCCAACTTTTAGGGCTAAGTGTAAAGATGAATTCATCAATTCCTCAAGATATAATCATTGAAATATTTTCATGGCTTCCTGCTAAGTCTTTAATGCGTTTCAAGTGTGTTACAAAATTCTTTAATTCTCTTGTTTTCGAATAAGATTTTACAGATATACATAGATATCGATCTCTGACCCGTCCCAGTGGTACAAAATTCCTTTTGCACGGAAGTAAATTCTATTACACTCCTGATCAGCAAAAAAACTCTGCCTCAATTCTTCAAATTGAGTGTTTTGGTGAACTCTCCTTTCATAACCATGTAGATTCTCTTTTGAATTGTGTTAACAATTTAGTTTTAATTTGGGAACCACTATCTGTGCAACCTGCTACAATTTTAAACCCAAGTACAAGAGAAGTCAGATTTCTTTCCAACCTAAAAGAAGGTTTTTCTTGGTGTCACTATTCATTAGGTTTTGAGCCAGAAGAAAACAAGTACAAAGTTCTTTCGACAACAACATATATTCAAAAAGGTTACACAAAAAATAGGGTTTTCACTTTAGGCATAGACAAGTCATGGAGAGAGACTAAAAACATTCACTCTCCTATTCTGTGCAAGCCCGGGATTTGCATCAATGGAGTTATCTATATGTTTGTTTTGCATAGAGGACTTCTTGCTATAGTTGCATTTGATGTTAAAACTGAAATTTCCAACTTATTGACTTGGGGGATCCCTCACACAGGTGGTCTTTCGAGTTTATAGAGTTGAAGGGTAAACTAGCTGTCATTGATTATGGAACACGTTTACATGAATATATCCACTTGCTTGTTTTAGAACAAACTCGAAACGAAGAAGAATGGAAGAGTCATATCATCCAGTTGCCTTCAACATGGAATACTTTAACATTTAGGGGCATGCAACTAGGAGTCAAACCCGATGACATATTATCATGCACGTCTTGTGATGATGAGATTTTATTCATCACGAATTTAAAGTCAGGTACTTCATGTTTGTGTTATGATGTTACGAGAAACAGTTGGAGAAAATTAGAAATTAAGGGGCTTCCTAAGAACCACAACATCGAAGGCATTTTTAGTTATGTAGAAAGACTAGTTATGTAGAAATAAGTATCTTTCCATTTGAGATTTTTTGCAATTCATATGTTGTTGTTTTTTTTTGCATCTGGATATCAAGCTTAAAAGGTTTTGGTGTAAAATTAGCATCTCAATAAATATATATGTTTAATTTCAGATTATGATTTTATTGTTTTGTTTTATTAATGTCAAATACCTCTGTACAGCATACACATATGAGACCAGTGTGGCTAACTTCAGTGTCAACTACAACAACCAAGGGTATCGCAGCAAAATCTGGGCATCGCAAAATCTGCGCTTTGGGTTTGGCATAATGCATTATATAATTGTTTGTTTGTTCACTAGTAACGAGTCAAAGAAGTAAAATTTCTTCACTAGTAAATCTATAACTACAGATTCTTAATTATACAAAACTCTACTTTGTCGATCCTGATTTTTTTTCCTCTCTTTTTATAAACAAGAAATCCCCTAGGGCTGGTGGTGCACGTTTCAGCTAACATGTAATGGTGTGGGAAGCGCAGTAGTCTACAACTTTTCCCCCTAGTAATCCCCTAGTTTAACTTGTTTTTCTACAACAACAACCTGGTACAACATAAACATTCTTTTGTTTTGTTATACTATAGAGTTAATGGTAAAACATTATACCCAAATTATCACCGTCTTTGATGTTGAGTTGGCCTCCACGCCCCTGTTGTCGATTGAGAACAAGTATATGGCCTGAAAATTTTGACGGCGATAAATTTCTTTTAGGAGTAGCTATAACTGAAATCTCACAAATAGAATCTAGTTCTGGCAATTTGTCAGAACAGTTCTGATTACTAGTAAAATATAGTTATATAGACTTCATTGATTTTTTTAAATAATCTGAGCAGGCAATTCTCATGGCTTCCAGTCAACTTCTCCAAATCAGATTTTAATCTCTTGTTTCCGAATCAGTTATCAGTGATATCCATAGATTCATCCTGGTGGAACAAAATTCTCAAATAATTCTCTCCATGACGAGAGATCTTTCTAAACAGCTGAGCAAAGGATGATGGAAAAGTCTCTATCTCTGTTTTTCAAATTGAGAATTTTGATAGACTCTGCTGTTATTCAAATTCTTGGTTGGATAGCGTTAATGGTTTATTTTGCGTTTGGAAACCCTCATCTGCTGCAATTTTCAATCCCAGTACAAAAGAAGTAAAATTTCCTCCCGATCTAAATAAGGATTATGTTAGCAATAACTATTCATTAGATTTTGAGCCTGAAGAAAAGAAGTACAAAGTTGTTTTGACTAACAAAGCATGCTCGAGAAGGTTACACAAAACACTAGGTTTTGACTTTAGGTAGAGACGAGTCATGGAGAGAGATTCAGACCATTTCCCCTTATACTCTGTACTGTCGTTAGGGTGTTTGCCTATGAGATCCTAGCACTTCACTCTCTTGAACCATTTCTTTATCATAGATGAAACCATCAGTGAAGTTGCACACCTTACGCCTAAGCAACCTTGGCCTTCACCAATTTTGATATTTAGAGCTCTAGAGATGACAATGGGGCAGGGCGGGGTGGGTTTAAGGGTATGTGGGGCGGGGCGGGTTTAAGGTTGTTTGGTGTAGGGCAGGGTGGATTGAAGTGAGATTTTAAAAAATTAATGTGGGGCAGGGTGGATTGCAGGTATATGTGATTTTATGTGGGTTCAAACTTAATTTTAACTTTTTACATGTTATAAGAGTGATAGAACATTATTTATTAAGATAATTTCATTAAAGCTACTAAAATATTCAAGATGATAAATGAAAATGGTTCAATAAAAAATAATACAATTTCTTACATATTTCTCAATTGACTTCTAAAAAATAAAATTTTAAGTCACTATCCTATTAAATTAATACAACTTAATGAAAAAATAAATTTTATTTTTATGAATTTTATTTTTAGTATCAAACATAACTAGAAAAAAAATATTTAAAAAATTATGCGGGGCGGGTCTATGCGGGGTGGGGTGGGGCGGGTTGAAAATGAAAAGAGTTGTTATGCGGGGGCGGGGTGGGGGGGTTGAAAATGAAAAGAGTTTTTATGCGGGGCGGATTAAAAATTTTGCGGGTTAAGCTCAACCCGCACCGCCCCCGCCCTACACCGCTCCATTGCCATCCCTATATACCTCTCAATTTTGCAATTAAAAGTTGATATATCCTTGTTATGAAATTAACTCATATATATTGGCTATTGTTATAGTCACATATACCATTTTCCTATGATGGAAGTGAAAAAAAATATTTTTTATTAAATTAAAAAATAACCTAGTAGGGAATTTTTTTTTTTCTATTGACTATTTTATTCATCTACTAATTTGGATTTATTATTTTAAAGGTCAAATTTATTTATTTTCATTTAATTTTTTTTATTAAATTAATAATAAATGCACCATTTTTTCTTACAAATATAAAACTAAGTTACAATATAACCTCAATTTTTTTTTGGAACTTCTTAAACTTTTTTCATTTATACTTCTTTTTATTTATTTCTCTTATTTTTACACTACTGAATAAAAGAAAAAAACAAAATAAAATAAAATACTCAAATAATAATAATCAAAGAAGTCAAAAAATAATTTATGTGTAAAAAATATCAAATACATGAT